GAGGAAGACATAGAGGGGATGCTTATCAAATTTGCAGATGACACGAAGCTGGGTGGGATTGCTAATTCTGAAAGACAGAGTCAGGATTCAAAATGATCTCGATAGGCTGAAACAGTGAGCTGAGACAAATAAAATGAATTTCAATAGAGAGAAGTGCAAAGTTATACACGTAGGTACAAAAAAAATCAAAGGCAGAGATATAGAATGGGAGGGACTTGGCTTGACAGCAGCACATCTGAAAGGGATCTGGGTGTTCAGATCACAAACTAAACATGAGCCTGCAGTGCAGTGTGGCTGTGAAGAAAGCTAATGCAATCTTAGGATGCATTAACAGAAGCATTGTGTCCAGATCACGGGAGGTGGTAGTTCCGCTCTATTCTGCTATGGTCAGGCCTCACCTGGAGTGCAGTGTCCAGTTTTGGGCACCACATTTTAGGAAGGATGTTGACAAGCTCGAGCTTGTCCAGAAGAGGGCAACCAGGATGGTGAGAGGGTTGGAATCCAAGTCTTATGAGGAAAGGCTGAAAGAGTTGGGTATGTTTAGCCTGGGAAAGAGAAGGCTAAGAGCGGACATGATTGCAGTCTTCAAGTATTTGAAGGGCTGTCATGTAGAAGATGGAGTGGATCTATTCTCTCTTGCTCCGGATTGCAAGACTAGATCTAATGGGTGGAAATTACAAGGGAGTCGTTACCAGCTAAATATCAGGAGAAACTTCCTAACTGTAAGAGTGGTTGAGCAGTGGAACAGTCTGCTTCGGGAGGTGGTGGATGCTCCTTTGCTGGATGTTTTCAAGTGGAGGCTGGATGACCATCTTTCGGGTATGTTGTAGGGCTATCTTTTGGCTGTGCTCCTGCAGAGTGCAGGGGGTTGGACTAGATGACCTGCAAGGTCCCTTCCAATTCTAACATTCTATGATTCTATATTATGAATATGTTGTTCTTCCTTGATTCTGACTGAAAAAATGAAAGAAGACTAAGACTGTGGTCACACACACTAAATAATCCACTTTCAATCCATTTTCAGTGCATTTTCCAACTGGATTTTACTGTGTGAAATGGCGAAATCTAGTTGCAAAGTGCTCTGAAAGTGGATTGTTTAGTGTATGTGACCGCAGCCTTAAAATCCATTCCACAGGTGACAGAGCTTGCCAGAACACCGTTCTCTACTTAAATTAAATAAGCAAGAATAATTAAAGAAAATGAGTGGTTTTTTTACTGTTGTTAATGTCAAGAGATCAAAGGTGTTTGCTATCTTTTTCAGGACACACTTTCCTGTTCATCATGGCCTACATCTCCAGGGCTTAGATGGGAGAAAAGGTGGTGTGATCTCCGATTAATACCACTCCTTCACTCTCGATTCTCCCAGTATCTCCCAGGGTCAGATATGTGCAGGTATGTAGATACAAAATGCATACTTTGTGTGCATGTCAGTCATGTGTTGTGGTGAAGGGCCTATATTTCTTTCTCCTTTTTTGCCACTGTTGCATTAAAGATACTTTTGTCAATGGGGAAAAAGGATATTATGGCAGGGATGTTAAAACACATTTTGTGCTAGACAAAAATATAATTAATACTCTGAGGTACAACAATTTTCTATGAGGTTCTAGATATCAGAGAAAATCTTACTGTTTTATAAAAAGCCAATTTTTCTCACATCTGAGAGAAGAGAAGAGAAGAGATTGGATTTATACCCTGCCCTTCACTACCCAGAGGTGTCTCAGTGCGGCTTACAAACTCCTTTCCCTTCCCCTCCCCACAACAGACACCCTGTGACGTAGGTGGGGCTGAGAGAGCTCTTGACAGAAACTGCTCTTTTTCAAGGACAGCTCTTATCAGAGTTATGGCTTGCCCAAGGTCATCCAGCCAGGTGCAAGTGGAGGAGTTGGGAATCAAACCCGGTTCTCCCAGATTAGACTCCGCACACTTAACCACTACACCAAACTGGCTGTCTTTGAGGGAAGTAAGCAGTGGGGTCCCACAAGAATCAGTACTGGGAGTGGCACTGTTTTTGTTCATAAATGACCCAGTATTGAGGGTGGACAGCGAAATGGTCAGAACTGCAGACATCATCAAATTATTCAGTATTGTGAAATCCAGCACTGATGTGAAAAATTCCAAAAAGATCTCACTGAATTAGGCAACAATGTGGCAAATGAAGCTCTGTGTAAGTATATGCAAGGTGATGTATATTGGAACAAATAACTTCAGATATATGTTGATGGGGTCTGAACTGGCAGGGACTCAGAGAGAAAGACATTTTGGGAGTGTAGTGGATAGTTTGGTGAACCTGATGACTGAGTTTGCAGTAAAGCAGTGAAAGGCTCATTCCATGCCACAGATTATAAAGAAATGAAATGGAAATAAAACAGCAATGTACAGATAGGTCTGTGCTGTGGCCTCATTTGGAATATAGTGTATATACATATGTAAGTGTCATCAAGTTACAGCCAATTTATGGTGGTGACCGCAGCAACAGGCTTTCGAGGCAGGTGAAAAGCAGAGGTGGTTTGCCATTGGCTTCTTCTGTAGAGTCTGCCATGGCAGTCTCCTGTCCCTGCACAGCTTCCAAGTTTTGAGATCAGGCTATACCAGGCAGCCTTCCCTCCTGGACTACAGTTTTGAGAAGAATAAAATACATCTGTTCATCAATTATCTGTTGATGAAAATAAGTTATAAATACGACCCACTCTTTTGTTGTCCACAATAGAATGATTTAGATTGAACAGTTAAGAACCAGCGTGATATAATAGTCAGTTGGAGTAAGAGTGAGAGTTCAAATGCAGGAGCTTAGGCAGGCCATGAAATTGACTGAGTGACTTCAGGCCAGTCATGCTCTTTTAACTTAAACTACCTTATAGGGTTGTTGTGAAAATAAATCAGAGAAGGGGAAATGTCTTCCTGAGCTCCATGGGGGAAGATCAGGATTTAAAAGTAATAGAAATAGACATTACAATTTCTGGACTTCACATGCTGTTCTCTCAGCTTCAGATTCATCACAGAAGAACTGAATTGTGACACAACTTCTAGACTTGCAAAGTCCAAATTGGATTTAGGTCATGAAATGCTGTCCAGCTCTTCTGACTCTTCGGCCACTCAGACCCATGAAGTTTTTTTAGGCTGCATGCCAGAAAGACTATTAGCTGAAGAAATTGGGCCTATAATGCTGCAGTATCTAAAGGTTTTCTGTAGGCTTCATAATTACCTGTCATTTGGAGGCAATAAATCAGTCCAGAGTGCATTACAGCACAGAATGTAGCTTTGTGGAACAGCACTGACACAGAATACTTGGATGGCCTCTCCTTTTATTGATGGATGCGTCACAGACTTTCATTGCATTTAATTTATCTCCAGATGTTGGAGAATTGCAATGTGAAAATCATTGTGGATCAATTCTGAGTTCTCCAGCCCTTTCACCTAAGTAATTTTTGAAGTAGATCATCTTCGAAACAACAACGCAATTATAATTGGAGCCACTCAAAAAGGAAGATTATGCTTTTGTGCTTTTACACACAGTAGGGAGGAAGTCTGAAAAATGAAATGATTTATTAACTGTTTATAAAGCAATATTTGCTTATTTTTATTTGCCCTTTTTATTATGCTATTTCTGAAATTTCCAGATTGGCCCATCAGGGATTCCCAAACATTTTGAGCCTTGGGCATTTTTGGAATTTTGAGAGGGGGTGGTGAATGCTGACACAGGAAGCAGAGCCAAACCCAAAATGGCTGTTGCAGGAGGTGGCACCAAAGCCGAAATGGCTATCACAGGAGTCAGAGCCAAATACAACACCCCCTTTCTCACTTTCCCCACATAGACCCCTAAGAGCAAGCTCCTTGGCCAGGTGCCCTTCCCCGGGCTCCTGGGGGGGGGGTTACGAGCCTGCTCACCCCCTCCATCTGCCAGAGCACGGAGACACCCCCGGGAGGTCCAGGAGGTGAGTCCGTGAGCGTGATGCCATCAACCGGAAGTTGGTTGCTCTCTCTCTTGTGGCTGATGAAGGAGACAAGGAACAGACAATCTTGAACAATGTTAATTTTCTCATCATCAACCTTAAAGTTGTGTCATTCCCCAGTAGACATTATTTTGTCTTCTTGATGTTCAGCTGTAATCCTGCTTTGGCCCTTTCTGCTTCATCAGGATTCATTTCAAGTCTTCACTGTTTTCTGCCAGTAATGTGGTGTCATCTGCATATCTCAAATGGTTAATATTCCTTCCACCAATTTGCATTTCACCTTTATCTAACCCAGTTTTGCTTATGATATGTTTTGCATATAAATTGAAGAGATAGGGAGATAAAATACATCCTTGTCTGTCAACTTTGCCATTTGGAACCATTCTGTTTCTCCATATTCTGTCCTAACAGTAGCCTCTTGTCCAGAGTATAGGTTGCACATCAAAACAAGAACAAAAGAGTGTTTCCTCAGTATTTATTTATTTGTTTGTTTGTCAGATTTCTACCCCACCCTCACAGCCGAGGCCGGCTCACCTTGGGAGGTGGTGGGCTCTAAACGCTAAAATGAATAAACTGAGAGTATTTGGTTCTACTTTTCTGCCATTTGGTGAGCAGTGAGTAGGCAACAGTTGCTTTGTGCCATTCATATTTTTGGCCAGGAATTATGGTAGAGTCAACCACCACTGTATACCTACTCTGTCTCCCTCTCAAGGGTGGTGGCTTCTCCTAGCCCCTCTAGCCCCTGTGGGTACAGGCAGATTAGCGAAGAGTGTAAATGGCAGCAAGCAGCTCTTCTCTCAGAGGTGGGAGTGGCAATGGCAGTAGGACTCTTGCTCCACCCCCTGAAGGAATGGGGCCACTTCCCTTCCTTGGTGCATATTGCTATGCAGCCACAAATGGCTCCTCCTCTGCCTGCCCAAGAATAGAAGGTAGACACAGAAGCAGGTGCTGCTGTCCCTTGCTGCTTGCTTTTCACATTGTTGCTCACACAGTGGCTCTGTTGACTGAGTGAGAGTCAGGCATGCAGGGAATAGTCAATGCCCTGAGGAGACACATGCAAGTGGTCTCTTCCTAGCAGCAATCATGCCTGGGCGATTGGTTGCAAGTGATCACCTTCACTACCTGTTTTTGTGCCTGCTCTCCCCACTCCTTTATCTGGAAAGGAAGAGTGAACACCTGTGGCAATGACATACCTTATTTACTCTAAAGGAAGGTGACCTTGAATGAACAACTCCATCTGTACACCATTGTTTTTTACTGGACATAACTGTAACTTGTGTAGGAATGTAAGATGATCCCTCTTTCATTCTTCTTTTTTATGGCATACCTGGGGGAGGGAGGATTTAGTTTTGCACTTGAGTAAATAGTGCATTTAATGGAGGGGAGCACTGAGCAGCATCTTCCCATTAACCACCTAACCTCTGGACAGGCCTTGTCCCGGTTATTAACTTGTCATACCAGATCTTTTAATGGTGGCAGGTAGGGTTCCCAGCCCCCAGGTCCCAGCAGGGGTTCCCCTGCTTTTGAGTGCTTTGATCCACTGCCAGCCAGCTGGCCAGTGAGGGAACCCCACCCCCAAACAGGGAGTTCACTACACAATGCAATGATGTCTCTCATAAGTGATGACATCGTGTCACTGATGTTGGGGGTGACACTCTAGTTTTGGGGGAAACTCTATTGATAATTTTAAAGGCAAAAAACCATAGAGTTTTGCCCAAAAACTAGACCATCACCACCCACCCAGACGGCAGTGACATGATGACATCAATTCTGGGTGATATCATTGCATCACACACACAAAGCGCGCCCAGCAGAAGACTCCCAGAAAGAATTCAGGAGCCCCCCGCCAGCTGCCAGGTGGAATATGGCAACTCTAATTATTAGCATTATCCTTCACAATTTACAATGTTTTTTTTTATTTTATCAATATATAAAAAACATAAACATCTCCTAATTATATTTGAGTAGTGCTCTTAGTACTTTAACCCAGTGGCTATTTGTGCCCACATGCCACTCTCCATAGGTAGTCCTCCCAATTCATTTGCAGGAAATGTGGGTCCCTCTGTTTTGAATTTATACCCACCTACAGTGCAGTCCTAAACAGAGTAATTCCCATCTAAGTCCATTGTCTTCTGTGGACTTAGAGAGTATAACTCTATGTAGAGTTGCATTTGTTTTGTTTGTTTTTTGAAGAAACCTGAATTTTTGCTGGGTGGGGGAGTGAAAAAGGTCTTTTCATGCAGTATGTCATTTCCCTGTAAATGGGTTTAAAATTGAATTTTACTGGATTTGTAGTATAAATCATCCCAAATAGCAAGAGCATTTAATAGTACTGTTAATTAAATTATTTACTGTCACCTTTTCTGTACTGGACAGCTAAATATCTGTTGCCAATGCATTCTTCCCATTTTATCCTGCAGTCATCGGGCAATATATTTGATCTTGGCATTGCTGAAAGCAAAGGGTGTGTTGTCCTCAAAATAGTACTCTTCCTGCTGCACAAACTCAGATTCCCCCCCTCCCTTTAAAAGAAGGTACAGCGTCTATAGGCTTTTGTCACATTACATCATGGACATTGATATGAACATTTAGCTCCAGGGTCTTCATTTTCAAGCTGTGTGTCCTTAGCACATTTCCCAATGTGAGCAATTTGTGTTCAGTTGGTTTTGCGGGTTTTGCCAAGATTTAGCTGGAGATGTGCCACATACAAAAGCCAAATATAGAAAGGAATGACTCACACAATAGGAAAAGCAGCAGGTCTTCAATGGCAGACTCATAGTGTGCAGGGAGGGGGCATGTATGTATAGATGGGATTTTTAAAGCTTTTCTCTAACTATTATTAAGTTGGTGATGTTGGAGCAGATGCAAGTGTCTTCAGACCTGATCTATTATGATGTGTCTACAGGCAAGATGCATTCCAAGTAATAGCAGTGGATGGTGTTTGCAGTGGCATAATTCAGTGTCTTTCTGCTGAAGATTGTATTGACTGGCTACAAGCAATAGCAACGAATATTTCCAACCTCACAAAGCACAATGTAAGTATGGCTCTGAGTAATTCACCAGATTTCCCCGGCACATTTGCTCCCAGCTGTTATAAAAACCTCATGAGTTTATGCACAGGAATATTTGTATGTAAACTGTACTTGAAGCATCCCCAGTGAAGTCAGCTCAGATTTTTTGAAAGTGATGTTCAGTTGTCCTCCGATAGCTGTGTAGTCAGTTTCATGGCTATCTGTGTTGTTTTCTTGTCTTGAATCTGGTTGGTGCCACGGAAAACGAAGGTGGAAAGAAATCTAGAGCACACATGTTTTAAAGATGTTGGCACAGAAGCATAGAAGTAACTTCTTTTGCATTTGTATCTCAAAAAATATTGCAGATACTGCCTTAAGGAGCATTGGATATCTATGATAAATCAATAACACACTTGGCTTTCCAGCTATCTTCCTACTTTTGCAAAGGACGTTTTGGTATAGTAGACTGAATCTGGAACATGCTTAGTAAAGTGAGATAGGAAGGGCTTCTGTACCCTGCAGAATACTCAGTCCGTCTTCCACATGGCCATTGTTCCTGCCCTCACCTTTCTGTTCTCCATCACATTCCAACATGAGTAGAGGTAGTTTATGTGAGGTAGTCCTGCATATCACTCTACAAACTACACTTCGTTGTGTTAGTTCTTAACTGGTTTTGTTGTATGTATATGGATAGATAGATATTTGTGACATGTAGAGCACAACAAAGGCAGACCCCATTGCTTAATTTTATTCTGCTTGTATGCTTGCTGAGGCCCACTGTTGGAGATGGATGTACAGAAACCAATGGTCTGATCCAGAGTCAATATATCTAATTCTCAAAGTGGTCCTATCTGTGGATACAAATCTGAAGAATGGGACCATAGACAGGCAAGACAGATATTTCTACAAACTTAAGAAAAGTCCCAGAAAAACCTGAAATCTTTTTTTTAAAAAATGGTGGTTGAAACCTTCAAATGTCTGTAGCTTTAAGAAACAAATGCACTCAGTGACCATTGCTATGCAACCACAACAGTATTGCCAGCCTTCAGGCACTGGCCTCTGTCAGCAAAAGGCATGGGGGAGGTGGCAGGGCCCTTTCCAGAGCTGTTTTGACCTTTGAGAGAGACCCCATTGGGGCCAGGCCTGGCAGGAACCATTGGGCAACTCCATGACTCACCCAGGCCCAACTGCCTGCTGCTGTTCAAGAGAAGCTACCACATGAAAGCCAGTGTGGTGCTTACAGTTTCAGACTAGGATCTGGGAGAGCCAGGTTCAGATCTCCACTCTGCTCTGGAAGTTCACTGGGTGACCGTGGACAGTCACACACTGTCAGTTTAACCTACCTCACCAGTTTAAAATAGAGCAGAATTATGTAAGCTGCTTTGGGCAGAGCTTTGATGTAGCTCTCAATATACAATACATGCTGAAAACCCCCAACCAAATGACACCAGTTTTAGAGGGAAGAGGAGGAGATGTTGTCCTAAAGGATATGTGTTATGAGGAAGTACTCTGGCCAGGTTTTCCCCTCAATTTCAGCTAATCCCCCTCTTTACTCTAGCCCCATCCCACATGGCTTTTGTTCATTTCTTCCTCTTTTTTACGTGTGGAAAAGGTAGTTAGGTCTAGCCCTTTATTCTTAGACAATTTTAAAGGAGACTGATTAATGTGTATTCTTAGGATACATTGTTCTTTCACCACTGTTAAATATTCACATAATTATATATTAATGGATCAAGCAATTATGTGCTTTACATTTGATCATTCATAATTTCATAATTCTTTGGAGTGGCAATTGAAATAACAGAATTTAGTAAAGAAGCTACCACTTACAATTCTGACAATTTGGACTAGATACAAAGTGGCTGAAACATCTCATAGGTTACATTTCTCTTGAACTAGGTGAATTGAGTCATATCAAAGCATCATTTGACCTACTTCATTTCTTAAATGAGTTCTTTAATTCTTCAATATCCCCCACATGCACTTAAAGTTTTTAATTTCTCATGCTGGGAATGCAGTTAAGAATTTTGTAGTTTGTAGTTACAGAACCATTCCAGCTGGTGACAATACGGGAAAGTCAATATGTTGTAGAAACATGACAGACATGAATTCATCTGCCATCTGTAAAATTCCATGCCACATAAGCCAGTTCTATCATTGCTTATTTATCTTCACAGTACGTGCACTGAATAAAGCTATCAGTCTCACCACAGATTTGATGAATGAAGATATAACTAAAATTTCTGCTTACCCTAAACTATTTTTTCTTTCTAATTTTAGCTTGTGCTTGAAACTATTTTTGGTATTTTGAGTAAATAATTTTCTTACAGTGCCACCCAACATTTTATTTAGCTAAATTTCATATCCCTTAGATTAACACTATAATTATAACTACCGATATTAAATGATGATAATTAACACATTGTCATCATACAGCGCATTTCAAAAGAACACATACACTAAAAACTCGGAATAGATCCAAAACATTCCACAAACCATATGAACAAAAATGAGGAACATCTTTTTTTTCCTGACCCCCCCTCCAATAGTTTGGATTGTCTTAACAACACAGGCACTAACTTCCACATATCCACCCCTCCCTTATGATGAACTTTATACAGTACAATTTTGTGTGGGTGTGGCCTCTGCAGTACCTATGCTTACCCTCTCAATCTTACTGGACTGTATACCTTCTCTGACATACAGAGCCACCCCACCTCCAACCCTTCTCCCCCTATCCTTCTGATATAATTTATAACCAGGAATCACTGTATCCCACTGATTTTCCTCATCCCACCAAGTTTCTGAAATACCCACAATATCTATCCCCCCCCCCAACACCAAGCATTCTAATTCCCCGATTTTACCTCAGGCACTTCTAGCATTTTTGTATAAACACCTATAGTTTCCCATACATGTTAAGCCCACAACCTTCCTCTTGCTGCCTCGAGACCTTGTGAGGCAGTCCATATAGTTACCCACAGTCTCAGTGGACAAGTCTAATCCATTTCTTTGTAGAAAAGTAACAACTACCCTGTCATCTCTTTGAGATGAGCCATCCCGAATCAGAAACTTTTCATCTCCTGTTGGCTTTCCCCCAATATTCAGTTTAAAAACTGCTGTGCCACCTTTTTGATTTTAAGCACTAGCAGCCTGTTTTCTTCTCGGGACAAGTGGAGATCATCCCTTTTGTACAGCTCCCTCTTGTTCCAAAAAGCATCCCAGTGCCTAACAAACTTGAACCCTTCCCCCCTACACCATAGTCTCATCCACGCATTGAGACTCCTGATCTGTGCCTGTCTCTCTCGACCTATGCATGGAACAGGTAGCACTGCTGAGAAGGCTACCTTGGAGGTCCTGGCCTTTCCTGCCTAGCAGCCTAATTTTTTCCTCCAGGACCTCACGACTGCATTTCCCCACATCGTTGGTGCCAACATGTACCTCCTCCCCAGCACTATCTACCAGCCTATCTAGAACACGTGTAATGTCTGCTACCTTTGCACCAGGCAGGCAAGTCACCATACGGTCAGTTCGCGGGTTCACCACTCAGCTGTCTACCTGCCTAAGGATTGAATCACAAACTACCAAGAGCCCCCCTCCCTCCCTGCCCAGGGATGGTTCCTTGGTGCGAAAGGATACCCGTTCACCAGCTGAAGAAGAGGTCCCTTCTGAGGGCACATTCCCCTTATCCGCAGCACGGCGCCCTGTTTCCCCTTGACCCTCACGCTCCCTGGCAGCGGCGGGGCTGCCATAATCAGAGTGGGACATATCTAACAAGTCCCTGAGAGTCTTCTCCATGTGCCTGACTGTCTCTGCTTCTCCAGGTCTGCCACCTTGGCCTCAAGGGAGCAAACTTGTTCCCTGAGAACCAGAAGCTCCTTGCACCAGGCACACACCCAAGACTTCTGTCCTGTGGGCAGATAGTCACATACATGTGACACTCTGTGCAAAATACTGGATAGCCCCCAACCACCTGCTGGCATTCTGGCTTCATAATTGCTTTTAAAATAATAATTATATATAATCCCCCTTTTAAAACCCTTTGTAATTGTGTGGTTCTCCTTGTAGAAGTCTACTTAACATGTGCCTTAATTGTTTTAACTTGTATTTTTATCACACTTTTGTGCCTGAGTAAGCCGCCCTGAGTCCGCGTGCGGGGAGGGTGGGGTATAAATGAAATAAATAAATAAATAAATAAATACTGGGAACACAAGAAGACTAGGACCCTGGCTTTCTGGCTCTCCCTGGGCTTCTTACAGAGTCCCGAGGCTAAGAGCCACAGGCCAAGAGCCTTGTGCCTCTGGCAAGGTGCTGCCTTAAACAGAAGCTTCCCCCAGCAGAGGGTGTGGCCAGCAGGTATTTAAATTCACCCAGGCACTCAATTACAGTCAAGCAATGACAGGCAGTTTTTTCGGCCTAACACTAAAGGGGCCAATTTTAGAATTCTGGCACCCACTACTCTTTTATAATAAGGGAGAGATTCTGTTTAATTAATGTTATTTTCTGTTTTTAATAATTCTACTGTATTTTATTACTGTTATGAATTTTTTTATAAGCCACTTTGGGCAGATCCTATAGAAAGCAGTAAACAAATGAATAAAATAAATCAATGATGGAGAGATTCTGCTCCATCCTCTGCCTTGTTCCTCAGAATACTGCAATAACGTTTCCACTGCATAGCCAAAATTACACATTGAAGTAGAGACAGGAGTGGGTTATTCAGTCTGCACGTTGGGTTCTCTCCTCTCCCAATTCCAAGGGTTTTGTGTTCTGTTGGTAGAGCAGAAGCTCATGAGTTTTGACTATAAAGGAGAAATGGTTAGTAATTTCTTTACAGCAATCAGTGTGAAACATCATAAAGCTAGATGCCCGCAATTAATGGTTCTCTGGAATAAAATTACCCTACTTGTCTGTGAATAGGTCCCTAGCTTGCTTAGCAAGACACGTGGATTTACCCAGGGGGCATTTTGCAGCACGAGGCGGGGAGTGGGATGTGGGGAGCTGGAGGTGCTCTTTCCCCTTTC